GAGAGGCTTTTGCTCAGCCTCACTCTGTTCACAGTAGAGAGTTCCTGATAGGCTCATTCTCAGTTGGCCTGTATGTCCTCTAGTACAGAGATCTGTCATATTTTTCTTGCTTTGCTCTGCTGTCGCCCCCAGTCTGCCTTCCCTGCTTTGAGACTTGATGTTGGACAAGAGAAACAAGTTGGATGTGTGATATTCACCCACCCACTTTGTTCCTCTTGGCTGCTGGGGTCACACTTGCCCAAGGAAAGTGTGTGGGCGGCGTCTCGACTTGGGGAGAAGACAGCGCCGTGTTTCATAACTTTGGCTCTAGCAGGATCTGAGCGGTAACCAAATCCTCTTCCCAGCACCAACAGCTGCTCCAGTGAAGTCCCAGACTTGGAGCCAGCCCAGCAGACACGCTGCAGCTCCCAAGGATGTGGGCGGGAGTGAGGTGGTAGCGTTGTGAGCTGGTTCAGTTAGTGAGAGCCAGGCTGATGGGACTGGGAAGACAGGTGAGGGGTAAAGAGATTCTGACCTGCGCAGTTCTTGCTCTGTCTTCCCCAGGGCAGAGCGGAAGTTTTTTAGAGGAGAAAGCAGAGTAACGTGACCAGCGGTTCTTACCTGTGTGCTGCCATTCTGCCTTCCCCTTGGGTGTGTGTGCACTGCAGGGGTTTGCCCTGGAGTTCGTGCAGTCGTGCATGAATTCTCACACGTACACCCGTGCAGTGGTTGAAGTGGGCTGGCAGATGTGACAATTACGTGCTGTTGGATTCTGCAGCTGTGTACTTGAGCAGAAATTATACCGGCATTTACACATTATAGTTCTGAGTGTGTGTACACCCAATGTATAAATTGGGTGTGTGCGATCTCTAATACACACGTGTGTATGTGCACACCCACACAGACACACCTGTGCAGAGATGTGTGCTCTGTACTCTGAGCTTCTAGTGCTCCTGGAGAGGTCATGTTGCGCAGCCTGAGGCCAGCCCCGCACAGGTGACAGTTACCTTTGGTTTTCAGAGCTCTGTTCGTGCCAGACAAGCAAAGCTGTTGACCGGTATCTTTACAGAGTTTTTTTTGATTTTTCTAGGCAATTTGAGCTCAGATCCAAGTGCTTTCAGATGAGGACAGCACTGTAGAATTGCACTGGCTGCCCTCTGGAAGTCAGTTAGTGCAGGGTAGAGAGGACAAGTCCAATGATTTTTTTTCGCTGCTGTAAACAGAATGTAAAACAGTGAAGTAGCAGTAGACAGTGTGGGAAGGAGGACAGCCTGCCCTAAATGAAAAAATTATCTTCCCTGTTCCATGAGCTTTCTCTGCCCGCTATATTTCCCCTGGCATGACTTTTTTTCTTTTCTTATTTCACAGCAGCCGAGCTGTTCCCCCTGCCCCACTCCATTCTCTGCTTGCTCGGCGTGCTTGTCTTTTGATGTCAGTCACGCTGTTTGATTTGTAATGGGGGAAACAGAATGCTTCCTCTGCTGCCTTTGCTCCCCACAGTCCTCTGAACCCCCCAACGCAGGAGGGATGGATTCAGCCATGGAACAGCAAGCACCCGAGCAATCCTTAGGGCTCTGCAGCAGCAGCTGGCGTTGGAGAAATAAGGGGCAGTGGGGAGCAATGTCTTCAGGGATCACAGCAAGCGGTGATTACGCTCGCCTGGTTTGTGACGCAGGGATAGCCACCGCTCCGTTACAGGAGTGCGCTGTCTCGGCCTAGAAGCCGGGAGGGCCTGTGCGTGCTTTTCCTCCGTTCATTAAGCAGCCTCTGGCTTTGACACTCTACCTGGGGTTTGGGTCTGGCGGCACGTTAGGATGTGCGCCGTCCTGTTCGTTACACCTGGAGCACTTGCTCCTGACTGCGAGCATTGCAGTGCTTCTCGTGGAGTTGCTGTCAGAACGCAGGAGCTGGCTTTCAAAGGCACAGAGGTGGTTTTCTCCCCCAGCACAAGAAGATTTTCTGAGGCAGTGCGTGGTTTTGCATGGTCCACTTGAGAATAGAGTTGTCTGGGACTTTTTTGATTAAGTGGATGTGAGGCTGTATTGACTTTAGTTTTAGAATCATAGAATGGCCTAAGCTGGAAGGGACCTTAGAGATCATTTTAATCCAGCCTCCCTGCCACAGCATCTCAGAGTTTGTCTTAGCTGAAGCTCTTTCTGTAGGAATGTGGCTTTGGCAAAGTTTACCTCGGGTAACGTTTTTTGTAATTTCAAAACTTAGAGTTAGAGGGAAATCTGAACTGAAGAGCTACTACAAGACTCACCCTAGATCTCGCGCAACTTTAAGGAAGGCCCCAGCTGCTCAGCTGCTTTCCAGCCTCCTCATCTTTTCAGTTGGTTCCTGGCCCTGTTTTGCAGGGATAGTAGAGATGATGTCTCTGGGTCTTAGTGGTACCAGCCTGAGGGGCACTGGGTTGACTGAGCAGCTCTGCTCTTCCTGACTTGTTCATGTGTCTGGCTTAGCTGTCTGCACTTGCTGTTGCCACAGGAGAGATTTGAAACCTTTTGAGTAATAAAAGCGTATTTTGAGAGACTCTGCAGGGTCTGAGGGAGAGTATGGGCTCATATGAGGTCTCCCCAGTACCTCTGTGTCATTCTATATCCCTCCATTCCACGGAAGATGTTTTTTCCAAGAGGAATTCCTTTCTCTGAACCTTGGCTTTCGTGCATATTGGTGCTTCTCTTGAAACTGGTGGCTTGCCTTTGTGCTACCTCAGCCCTGAAGCATGGAAGGAGGCCAGGGACGCAGGAAGAGAGCTGGAGAGACTTCTCCAAAGGCGTTTGTTATTTCAGGTAGCACCCGAGCTTCCTAAAGTGGATCAGGAACTCATGAAGCTGCAGAGCGCTGGAAACTGCAGTGACGTGGGTGAAGTCCCCTCTGCCTTCAGGCTGGCTTAGCCCCATGCAGGCAGAAGGAGGCTGGGCAGGAGGAGCATCTGCGGGGCCTGAGGTTGGCTGTCACGGTGCTCCTGGGAAGCTGCTGCCCCTGGCTGGCTGACACCCAGCGGCCTTTTGGAGGTGGAAGGTTTCTGGGCAAAGACACAGGGACAGTGCTGACGTTTTGCGCATCAGGTGCCAACAGCCGGAATCACAGCAGTCTTGTGTCTCCACAGACCACGCCAAAGGAAAGCCAGTGTGAGCACCAAGCGTTCAGCTTCCCAGTCTCCAGGACTGCAATTTGTGACTCAGCTTCCTTGTTTCAGCACTGTGCAGCAATCCTCGGCTTCAGGGGCCTCGTCAGACCCTGGGCTGTGAGAAACTCGTCAGACCTGAGATCAGAATTCTCTCCCCGTGCTTCCGAGCACAAAGCCTTGTGGGGGATACTTCTGGAAGTATTAATGTCTGTAGGAATCGGGCACCAGCTCAGTTCGGCATGGATTGATTTTTTTTTTTTTTTGCAATATTTTTCCCTCTTGTTTCCCGCCAGTATAAAGCCCACATCTTACATGTGCTGATAGGATCATTTTAGCAGCTACTGGGCTGTAGGAAAAGCTAGTCCCCTCTGAGTTCTTGTCCCTTAACCATGCCTGTAAATACTGGTGCTGTGTGATTAATTATTACTGCTGTTGGTTTCTCCTTTACTTTTATTAAATGTTTTTTTCTGTTTGCAGTCTGCTAAATGGTTTGTTGGCTTTAGTTTTGTTCGTGTAATAACTCCCGCTTTCCTGCCAGCACCAGCTTCACTGCCTGGGGTAATGATTTTTTGGCTGCTCAAAAATGGATATCAAAAGGTGTCTGTTTAATTACGGAATATCTCGGTATAAATTTTCTGCGTGCGCATGCGGTGGTCTCGTCGCTGCTGCAAATCAGTTTTCCTCCTCTGTGTCCCTTTTTATAAGAGAAGCGGTGGGACTTAGGTTCGGTATTACCAGATCTGGCTTTTCACCCTCTGTAATTTTAGGCCTGTCTCTCGATGTGCTCTAGGAGGAGTTTTGTGGGAAACCTAAATGCTGACTTGGAAAAAAGCAGTCTGCAAGCAGTGGAATTAATAAAGCATTATGTGCTGTAGCATTGGCTCTCGCAGTTGAATTCCCTGGGGTCTCATAGTGGTGTGAAATCCCTGTGTGGATCCACAAACGTTTAAAAGAAAATGGAGTTCATCTTTCTTTTTTTTTTTTTTTTTTTTTTCTTTTCTCCTCAGAGAATCCCCAGTGGTAGGAATTCATTTATTCATCCATCCACCTATCTCCACTGCACCGATATCCTTGAAAGTGCCTCCCTCATGCTGAATGTGGTAGAAATTGGCCGTTGGGCTTTTCAAGTTGGTAAACTAGGTTACACAGATGTGAGCACAGAGTTTTTGTCTTGTTTCTGTAGCAAGCAAGGTTCGAAAGACATAATTTATTAACTATCCCTTTTTACCTTGTGGGTGTTCTGGCACGGGCAGGATAAAAAGCAATCCATGCGCATAATCAGGCACGGAACAGGTTTTGGTGAACACAAGCTTGCAGCGGATTAAAATGTGCGGCTGAGAAGGCTTTGCCATCTCTGAAACGTGTGCCTGGGGGTGCTGTGGTGGTGTCGCCTGAGTGTTCGTGTCCCGTTACCCAGAACCATCTCAACAGACTCACTCGCTGTTCTGAAATGCTGTAACGTGCCCCGTTACTTTGTTTTCAACACCTTCCTGCTCCGCCAGTGGCAGCGGGGGCGCTTCCCGCACAGCGTGCTGTTGGCATTGACAGGAAGTGTGGACGGGCTGGCTGGGGGACAGAGGCTTTGCCCATCTCCCCGCGCTCCCCTGCGCAGGCAGGGTCTGAGGCTGCTCTGTGCCTCCTCCCACGGCCTGCCTCCCCGCAGAGCTGCGCTACTGCGGCTCCCTCCAAGAGCCTGCAGCGTTCCGAGCCCCACCGCTCCATCCCTGCCTCTCCCTGCCACTGAGTGAGGCTGAACACACGCCTGGCTTTGAGTAATTGCTGTTCCCAGAACTCAGCAGGCTGAAGGGGGTGGAAGGGAGATAAACATCAGAGTCCAACATCCAGACAAACACAGCAGAGCACACGCAATAAATACATCCGCCCCCAAATGCAAATACATCAGAAGAGATTCCTTGCCCGGGGCTCGGAGCAGAGCAGGCTCGGACAGGAGAGCGGCGCGATGAGGTGAGTGCAAGGACTTCCCTGGCTCCTCTGGCCGCTTGGCTTTGTGCAGGCCTTGGAGGGAACGGCCCTGAGTGTGATACCTCCTGGCCTCGTCTGTTGTCAAGCGAGAAGGGTGTTGGGCATGAAGATTTCAGCTAACTCTGAGATGCCTGGTTTGGTGTTGGCGCCAGCAACTTGAATGTGTGGCTTTTGGGGTACGGTCTGGCTTGATGGTCACTTTTTCTCCATTAATCTCTTGTTCTTTTGACACAGGCTGTTTGTGTTGCTGGCTGTGCTTTACAGTGGAGCAAGCAGCAGCATCGTGCTGCAGAAAATGTATGGGAGGTTCACGTCTCCCAACTTCCCAAATGTTTACCCCAATCACAAGGAGAGAATCTGGAATATTACTGTCCCCAGGGGTTTTTCTGTCCGCATCTACTTCACCCATTTCAACCTGGAGCTGTCGTACCTGTGTGAATATGATTATGTGAAGGTATGTGTAGGGTAAGACAACATGTAGCAGCCCAAGTTGTTAAAAACTGTGTATGTGATCCTGGACACATGCAGGACCAACGTAACTGTTGCAGTCACTTGATTCTGCTTGTAAAGTTCAAGTTCAGCTGATTTCTAAATTATGTGCTTATTGAGGCCCACGGGACCAGGAAATAGAACTGGTTGTCATGTTGGAACATCCGAAACTTGAGTTGGTTTTGCAAAGCAAAATGTTTGAGATTTTGCCCAAAACAACATTTGAGCTTCATTTTGCTTAAAATGAACAAATAGTGCTTTACACCAGCGTATACTGGGAGCCCATGAAAATGTAAGTGAGGGTCTGAACAAGATGCCGTCAGCTTGTCTACACGTGTGCCCGCAACTTGGAATGGTGTGTTTGGTAACTGATGGGAGAAGCAGCAGCGGAACTGTCTGTGGGAGGGGTTGGGGTGATCAGCGGTGTCCTGGGGATGCCGGCAGGTGCTGCAGCTTGGGCGGCCCTGTCTCTCCGTAAAGAGGGAGCTGCACACACAGAGAGTGTGCAAAACCAGGGCATCATGGGTTTACACGGCAGGTTGCTCCTGTTCCCCAAATCCATCTTGTTCTTGGTGTCATTTCCTTCGGGCAGGACAGTGTCCTCATTTCTGGTAGGTCTGCAGTACACAGCTCTGCCGCTACCCTGTACAACATGAACCTCATCTATCAGGACGTTTCTCTTGTATTAAAAACACAAGATAAATGAAGAGCTGAAACCGTAATAAGTGAATCACAGAGTGAGTCACTAGTTTAAAGAGACCTTTTACTATAAATCTGAATTTGTCAGTGTATAAAACTGTTTTACCGCGTTGTCTCTGGCTTTACCCAGATGTGATTGTCACTAAGAGTGCCAAGTTAACAAGAGCATTATAAACAAAGCATGGTGCTGGTGGTCCAGCCTGGCTTCATGGCTTTATGGAAGCCTCTGAAAGGAAGAAGGAAGACAAAATTATGGGCTTAAGTCACAGAGAAATGGCAAAGTCTTCTCTTACCCATCCATGGATCTGGACTGACCTCCAGAAGCACCTTTTGAGAACACCCAGGCTGCCTTCTCACTCTGTTGAACACGTGCTTTCCAAGCCATTGACAGTGGCTTGCAGCAGGTCGGGAAGAGCAGGGCTCTGTGCCCATCTGATGGATTTGTCTGCCTGTTTTTCAGCTGAGCTCTGGTGGGACAACCTTGGCTACGCTGTGTGGAAAGGATAGTACAGACACCGAGGAGGCTCCAGGCAACAAGACATATGTCTCCGTTGACAACAACCTCATGGTGGTGTTTCGGTCTGATTACTCCAATGAGAAACCGTTCACAGGCTTTGAGGCCTTTTATGCTGCTGAAGGTGAGAGACCAGCCCCTCCTGGAGACGGAAGAGACCTGGCTGTGCTGGGGTTGGTGCTTCCCTGTGCCCATCACCAGTGGCTGCTGGTGGGAGGTGGGAGGAGGCGGCCTTGTCGTACGGAGGCAGACGCTAAAGGGCACAGCAAGGAAAGGCAAATGAGCCAACCTCGCAAAAGGCAGAGCGGCTCAGACTAAGACAAAGTGGTGTCGAAGGGTGTCGGTTCCCTAAATCTGTGCTTTTCCCGTTAGATATCGATGAGTGCAAACAGCTGTTCGCTGGTGAGCCCCTCTGCAATCATCACTGTCACAACTACGTGGGGGGCTACTATTGCAGCTGTCGAGTTGGCTACACACTGCATGGAAACAAGAGGACGTGCACAGGTGAGCTCTTGCTAGATCAGGAGATACCTCGCTACCTACAACATCCGCTTAAATCCAGTCCTGACGGTAGCATCAGGATGAAAGCTATGGGGTTTTGTGGTTGTTTTCAGTATTCCCTTTGCACCAGGTGCAGCTGGAGGAAGTTATGAGGGGTTAGTCAGGACTGTGAGCAGAGGCCCGGGTTTGCAGAGTGGCTGTGGGCTGATTACTGCTGTTAAGGACAGCGATGCTGTGTCACAGTGAAATGGTGTGCTGGCACTTGGGTTTGGTTACTCCTTAAGACAGCATCTGTGTTCAGATTTAGAGACATTGAGTGGAGAAACAAGAAACTTGTCTTACACTTCACCACAAACAATTCTAACCTTCATGGTGGCCAGTGCAGCCAGCCTTGCAAAACTGTGTATATCTTGTTCCCTGGGTGCTGAGAAACGGAGTATTCTGGACCTAAGTTAGTAGATGCGTTGGAAAAACTAACAGTGAAGTTGTGAAGTCTGCTGGAGAAATAGTGTATCTATTGTCTCTGGAAGGACACAGGAGAAGCACCAACATGGTCCACATATCACTGACGCCACGTACAAGAATCCACTCATTAAATGGGAGATGAGGGCAGGCACAGTCTCTTGCTCAGAAGGACAGACAGCGTGAGATTCACCAGGCTGACTGCTGCCTGGCTGTGCCGCTCAGTTCACAACCAGGGAGGGTTTATGTGTCGTCAGGCAGCGAAGTGTCTGTCTGAGTCGGCACCGTGATCGGCACCTTCCCGTTGCAGTGAAACATGTGCCTACACGGGGTGTCACATTCGTCCTTTGTGGGTGCAGCTTTGCCCGCCTGGAGCTCAGTCCTGTCTGGAAGAAGCAGCACACGTACTGCTCGCTGAACGTTGCCCTACGGGGAAGACAGCTTCTCGGAGCTCCCCGGTGCTGAAGCGCAGAATTGGATCCAACCTGCAGTGCTTAAGGCCCCCTTGGCATTTAGCTTCCCAGCTCCAGCCTGTTACAAACCCTGTCCAGCCACAGCTGCCTGGCTCTGATTGGAGATTCAGACTCCTCATATCTCCGGTGTATTGAAACAGACCTATTAATTCAACTTCCCCTTCCTAAAGTCATGGCTTTTAGCACAAGTATATGGATTTACTTACGCTATAAAGCGTGTGCCTGGGCTTAATGTGAAGGTGCAAAATGAATAGCTGCAAGCTGGCAGACTAGCGGCTTTGCTGACCATTCATGTGTGGACACTTATGCCCCCTCCTTGAACATGGCGATAGCCGGGGGAGCTTAGCAGCAGTTCCAGAGGGCTGGGCTGCTCTCACGGGTGAAGACGTGTGTGCTGGGAATTGCTGTGGTGCAGCTGGTGCTGGGACCTGTTTGCATTTCGCAGCCCCTGAGGGGCAAGTGCTGAAGCGGCTTCAGCCACCGGGCTGGGCTGCAAAGCAAAGGTTTCTGTGGGTTCCTTAGTGAGAAGAGAGCAAAAGCCACTCCTTTGAATTTTTGGGGGGCTCCTGTCTGAGCAGGCTGATATTGACAGGCTCTTTTTTTTTTTTTTCTCCTTTATTTTCCAGCATGAGATAATTAAGCTTCTGCTCGCTTAGGCAGAGATGGAGACAGATGTGCTGGGAACAGCTGGTTTGCCCTCCCTTCCAACCTGCCTGTTGCAGTCTGCCCGAGGGCTGCAGGCTCCTCTTGCTCCGTGACTTGTATGTCTTGGTTCCTTGCCTTTCAGGCCTGCTTCTTGCAGATAATAAAGAGCCTGTTCCGTGTTGAAAGCTGATGGGAGCCTCGGGGGCATTCATTTTCTTGCATTTCCCATGTGTCCCTAGGGAAAAAAGAAGGTAGATAAGGCAGGAGCTGATAAGGGAGAAGCCGTTGTGAAAGGCCCCTGAGCATCACAGCTACCTGAAGACTTCGGTTTCTTATTGCAGTTTAAAAACTATGGAAGGTTAAGCAACAAGACTAGAACCACACTTTTGATCCCAGATCTTCCTTTTACATATGCTCTTGTCTGCACAATCTTGTAGATTGAAACTATTTATATTGAGCCTGTTCACTCTTTGAAGAGGCTTGAATTTCTTTCTTTATTTTTTTTCCGATCCAAATTTGTGGCTCTGGCCATATCCCCTGTCGTCTCTGTCTGCAAAATGAGAGGTGCCATCACCGCCTTGACTTACTGGGAAGATGCTTAATAAGTGTCATAGAAGGTGGATGCTGCGCAGAACTGATGTGGAGGTAGAGGGGCTGTGCAAGCAGTTACTGAGACTGACTTCTGCTGTATTTAATCTTGTTCAGAAGCTGTTTCATGGTCACAGTGAATTGTGATCAAAGCAGCTTGAGATTTTGTCATGGCTCGGTGATAGAATTTATGAACTGCCTTTCATTGGAGACCTAATGAGCCGGTGACAATGGATTTGCAAGTTTTGAGGGGGTCATTTTTCAGAATTCAAGCCTCTGGCAAACAGCTCGCTGTGATTCTAATAAAAATATGGCCTGAGCGTAATTGAGCACTCTCTGGACAGCTCTAAAGCTTGGGCTGAGAAGCCAAGGGACAGCATTTCTGCTGGCAGATGTTAAAAAATTATTTGATCCTTTTTGTGCTGGCTAGTTTATGACTTTCTTGCTTGCAGACTTATGGAAAAAAAATACTACCCTGACAAAGGGAGCTCCCAGCGGCCACATCCAGGAGATATTAGGAAAAAAGTAAGGTCCAGTCTAAGCCTTTTCATCTTTTTTCATCAACTGCAAATTTCCTCAGAGTAGCAGAGTATCTTCTGTTGGGTCAGCTAGTTTTGGCTACTTGTGTGAGTGCGAGTGGAGAGTTTGTTGGTGATGACTCACATTTTTTCCGAACTGCGTTATGAAAATCTCGCATAAAAATTAGGAAACTGAGCATAAAGGAGCCGGATATAATGAACCGTGAAGAACTATTAGTCTCTACCTTTCTCCTCCTTTAGTCTTTCAAGACAAGGTGAAGGCCAGTTTTGTGAATTAGTGGGCCATTAACAGGGCACTGTTCTTATTTGTATGGTAACAGCATTTCTCTCTCACATGTTTTTACTCTGAGCTTTAGTCTAATTACATTCCTTTAAACATACTTTGAGGAAAGAAGATGACGTGATCATTACAGTAAATCGAAGCCAAGGTGTCGCTGCCTCCTAGCTCGGGTTCTTAGGGAATTTAACCTCCCCAAACTGAGTATCCCTTCTTTACACAGTAGGTCCCGTGCCCGGGGAAAAATGTTGGGTTTTTTTTAGGTAATAGGAAAGAACGCTGATGCAGAACTAGCGGAAGATTTGAGGTTCTGACTTGCTAATGATTTCAGTAAGGAGTTGGGGGTGTAAAGATAGTGCTCGTTACATTGTGGCTTGTATGCTTAGGGTAAGGCTTGCTGCAGAGTCCTTTTTCACACCCAAGGATTTCATGTTTTCATTCCTATCTCTTCCTATAATTGCCTCCAGACTGCTCCTGTAGGGGCTGTAAAGCTGGAACAGATATTAGCAGCACGAGGAAATTTCAGTTTTTAGAAGCACCTTTTTTTGCATCGATGGTTGTGAGCAGTGCTGCTAAAGCTACATATCAAGTAGTTTTGGGGTTTTGAGGTGTTTCTTAACCTGGGCTTATGGCAGGTGGAATGAAGCGTTATGGTGGGGCCTTAAAGCCTGGGAGAGGGAACGAATTCTGTGTCACTGGTGGTGTTTTAAGCAGCACCTGCAGCAGTCAGGAGAGTGTGCTGGAAAACATGGTTTGTTCTTGCACAGCCATCAAACGCTTCTGGAGTTTGAGGGACAGTGGGTAGAATTACAGAAACGTGCGTTTAGCTGGGAAGAATGAGGTAATAACAATTCAGGGGAGTAAAAACCACTTGCTGATAATCCCGTACAAGTATAGCATGAAAGAAAAATATCTAATTCCTGTTGTAGCTCGGCTGATTTCTGCCGGTGCAGAGTGCTGTTAGGCTGGACTCAGAAGCAGCCAGAACCTCCAGGTGAATTAGCCAAGCTTTCACCGCTTCTTTGGACTTAAAAATTAGGAGAGTGAGTGCTCAGTTTTAACAGAATGGTCATTTCTAGGTATTAACTGTTTCGCTTTGTGTGTTTGTCAGCTGTGTTTGAAAGCCTAGAACAGTGAATTCAGAGTAGAACACCCCGAGGTGCTCAGTCGCTGTGGTGATAGATAGGTTTACATCAAATAAAAGCGGCTGCTCATAACTTTCTGGGAAGAAGAGAGAGATTGTCTGAAATTACAGCTCGTGCTAAAAGAAACGCTTGGTACCCGAGCACATCAGTACTTGTGTGGTGGTGGTGGTGTGCTGAGAGCCACGCAAATGTAAACTGCAAAGGTGATCCTTTCCCCCATTCCTGCCAAGTAGACACTTGTACCCAAATACTTCCTGTAGCGGCGAGTAGGGCTGTTGCCTGGGTACAGGATCGAAGCAAGTTTTGTTCTCTGAAGTAAAAAGGAGCTTGGAATCATGGTTATTGAAATCCATGGCTAGTTAAGGGACAATGATGGTCATTTTCTCAATCACAAGTTGGTCCCCATTTCATTAAAATGGCAACCCTAACCGGTATGGTCTCTTTTCGGTGATAATCTGTAATTAACGTCTGGATAATGGCAGTTTTGTTGGTGGAGGTCAGCGTGGTGTGTCTGAGAATACAGTTCAAAGTCAAACAGTTTCCCTCTTGCAGTTAATTCAGTGTCACAATGGTGCAAAAGCACTGCGGTGTTATCAACCAGTCCAGCATTCCTCATCAATTACAGGATGGCTCATACAGCTTTTGCAGCACATCATAAAGCCTTTGTTCCCAGCTGATCAAAGCACCACTTCACAGTGATCAGATGCTGTCAACAAGCAGAGATCCTCGGGCACTTGTGGCTGTTCCTTCTTGCTTCTCTTCAGCAGGGAGTGTTTGTGGCTCCAATTGTGTCGGCGAGAGGCACAGCTGGTTTTGCTCAGAGAATACAATTACATCCTAAATGTGTGGCAACAAAGGCATTTAAAAAAAAAAAAAAGGAGCTGCATTCAGAGGCTTCTGGAACTGAGGCGCTGATAGCTAGCCCACCGCTCTGCACGCTCGGGTGCAGTGGACAAGCTGCAAATGTAACACCTCGGAGTGTTTTTGATGAGCTTCCAGCTGTGACGCTTATTTCTGACCTCCAGGCTGTGACTCTCTCAAGTGGTGCCTTCCCGGTGTCCTTCCCTGGGCACGGTGAGGTGGGAGGGCTGGCTAGTGCTTGAACCCGGGTCCCGCCATGGCGAAGGGACGGGACTTTTCTCAACAGCGACAAACGCCCCCTGGTTAAGTGCGAGATGAATTTCATGTCATAGCCAGGTAGATACGTGGCTCTGAAACTTTCTCCAAGGGATTGACTGGTGTAGAAAAAGATCCACCACCTCAACCCAGCAATGTCTTTGTAACGGGTATCGTAGGAGCACGCGCTGGGTAGAAGATGAAATACTCAGCAGCGAGTGGGTTGGAGACCCCTGTTTAGTTCTCCAGTCTGGACTGTTCCCAGAACTTAGTTCTGAGAAGGCCTGAGTAGGGACTGGGGTTTTGGAACAGTGGCTTCACGCTTAGTTTTCAGCTGTGCACCTCTTCAGCTGTGTAGCTGCTAGACAGGTCACCTCTGAAGAAAAGCTTCAAGAGAACTGCAGGATTCCAGCTGACCTTACAGTGCAACTCAGGTCCAGGCGTATGATTTTGTTTTAGGGAGCAGCGGGATGTGGATCTGTTGGTGCGTGTTCAGAGGAGGCCACA